CTCCTGGGGGTGGTAGTGGGGGCTCAGGAAGGCCTCATAGCGCTGCCGCAGGAACTGGCCCAGCTCACGCTGCTGTTCCACCCCCACCTGGGGCAACAGGTGGAGTCAGGAGCAGCCTCCAACACCTGCAGCATGTCTCTCCCTGCCCCAGTAAGACCCCCCCACTCACCTGAGTGAGCTGCCGGAAGCCCTGGGGCCAGGGCCCCTCCTTGTGGGGGTCACTGGGGTAGGTGTCCATGGGGGCCCGGTCGCCATGGCGATACATCTGGTGTGCAGAGAAGACCAGGTGTCCCCCTCCTCTCCAACAAACCACCCCCTACCCTCAAGATCCAGAGCTGGGAGGGAACCCAGGTGCCCTGGCTTCCAGCCCCCACTGCTCTTGCCCACCAGCCTCCAGTCCCTCTCCAGAGCTGAGAGAGAACTCAGCTGTCCTGGTCCCAGCCTCCCTTCTCTCACCCACCAGAGCCTACTCCCCTACCCCAAGCTGGGAGAGAACCCAGGGGTCCTGCTCTCAGTCTGCGCCCTCTCCCCCACAATCACTAGCCTGCCCTGGGTGGGCTGTGGCCTTGCCGTACCAGTGTGATGAAGCGGAGGGTCCTGGCATGGGCGGTGGGGGGCTGGAACCCCAGCAGGAGCAGGAGCAGGAGCAGGGCAGCAGGCAGCCCCATGGTGTGGGGCTGATGTGTCACCCAGGCAGGGCCTGGTTATAAGCCGCTGAGGTCTGCCCGCAGGTGGGGTGGGCCTGTCCCAGCCTGCATGCCCCCCCACCTGCCCATGGGTGCCACTGCCTGCCCCCCACAGCTGTGGGGGGTGAGGGCAGACTTTCCTAACTACCAGTCTGGGGCACAGACTTGCTGAGGTGGCTCAGGGAGGTGGTGGTGGGGGAAAGGGGTGTCTGTACATTGCTCATAGAGGTGTTTGTGGTTGCGGGCAGGTGTGTGCATGTATATGTGTGTGTGTGTGTGTGTGTGTGTGTGTGCGCATCTGCTATGCAGTGTGTGGTGGGTTAATGTTCATGTTGATGTTTCCTTGTAGTGCAGGGTGGGTGTTTAGTGGTTTTATGTGTGTGTGTGTGTGTGTGTGCTGTGTGTACTTGTGTATTGCAGAGAGGGGTGTGTGTATGCACACGTGCTATGTATACTTCTGTATTGCAGAGAGATGTGTGTGTGCATGTGCATCACAGAGAGGTTTGTATGTGCACACTGCATACTTGTGTATTGCAGAGGCGTGTGTGCAGGCACATTGTATATAACTATTGCAGAGAGAGGCATATGTGTGCATGTTACATGTGCTTGTACATTGCAGAGATGTGTTTGTGTCTTGTATGTGTCTGCATATTGTAGAGGGTGTGTGTGTGTACTTGTGTATTTGAGAGAGGTGTGTGTGCTGTGCATATTTGTGTATTGCAGAGAGGTACGTATGTGTGTGCTGTGTGCACTTGTGTATTGGAGAGCGTTGTGTGCTGTGTGTACTTGTGCATTGCAGAGGTGTGCAGGCAAACTATTTGTAATTGTGTATTTCAGAGAGTTGTGTGTGCGTATGCTGTGTGTACCTGTATATTTCAGAGACATGCACACGTGTGTTTGTACCTCATATGTATTTGCATACTGCGGAGGGTGTGTTTGGGTGGGTGAATGCACATGGTGGAGGTGCATGTGATGGAAATGTGTGTGTGCATGTGCACATTGATATGTGTGATGAATGGGTGCATGGAGGATGTAGCAGTGGCCTCATGTCAGGGAGGGTGCTGGGGTGTAGCAGGGGAGCACACATGGAAAATGGATGTCACTGTGTGTCCATGGACTGCAGGTGGGTCAATGGTGGATGGATGTGTTGAGGTGTGTGGTGCATGTGTCTGAGCCACTCAGGGGCTTGTATTAATTGGGGTTAGGTGTGTTGCTGCATGTCTGGGCACTGCCCTGCTGCACCCCAGGGGATACAGGGCTGTGGAAGTGAGGGGGTGTGGGGGATTCGGGGACCCTGAAGAGGCTGGGGCTGGGCTGGGGCAAGTGTGGGACAATCCAGCCCCCTCCCTGCCATGAGGCCACTTCCAGAAGCCTTTCCCTTCTAGAAGGTGCCTGCCCAGATCCAACCCCAGTGCAGGGGCATAGGCTGGCACAGGGGACAGGGATAGAGCAGGGGCCTTTCCTTTTTAGGGGGTTCCAGCCCTGAAGCATTGTGGGCCTGGGCAGATGAGTGTGGGGGTGCCCCCATGAGGCAGGCCTTGGGTTTTGAGATCCCTGTAGTGTTTCCTGTCCTGGTACAGAGACCTCCCCCCAGCCCCAGCCAGGTCTTCTCTCCTCTCCGGCCCCTGTTCGGGGTGGGGG